GGTAATTGTTCCTTTTCTCAGATTTTTGTTTATTGACGTTCAACTCACTTGATTTTTATTGAACATTAGTGGTACTTACCTGTTGGCAGTTGGGTTTGAAAGCATTTGTTTTTCTGAACTTCATGAAGTGGTAACTGCTAATGTTACATAATGTTTATTAGTAGTTAGTTCTCTGCAGTTAATCCACAGCAGAGCAATCGCACTCCTTAAATTGTTCATTCTTCTCTTCATAGACATTTAAAAGGGAACAAATTCTTGTACTGTTACTCAGTGTGTGCATGTGTTTGGATGGGGAGAGAATATAAATAAATAAAAATACTTGTCTCTGCCAAGTTAACCTGCCTCTTGTTCTTTTTTCTTTTTAGGTCAGATGTACCAACAGTACCAACAACAGGCTGGCTATGGTGCTCAGCAGCCACAGGCTCCACCTCAGCCACCTCAACAGTATGGTATTCAGTATTCAGGTGAGCAGGTGTTGACAGGGAGTTGGCTCATGGTTTTTGATCTGTTTCTATCAAACTTCAGGCCCTTCCTCTTCATTCCTTGATTTGTAAGACATCATAGGAGGTATTAAGTATTTATTGGGGAAACAATTGCTCTACTTATTTTTAAATATTTTACTTTATTTTATTAATCAACATTTTGATTTTCTAGTGGGCAAATAAAATTTATGATCATAGTAGATGATTCTACAGTAACTTGTAGTGTAAAAAAGTTTTTAATACAAAACTGTCTCTTAATAACATGGTCAACTTACCTCTTTTGGAACTGCAAAAAAATGCAAGATTTCCCCTTCTCCATTTATATGTAACACATAATTCCAGTATACTCTTAGTACACATTGAAATATTAACAGTTCTCTCATAAACGTAAGGGTGATCTTATTAAATAAGAACTAAATTAAGCTACTTAGGTTTTTAAGTCTTTTGAAAGTATGTAGAAACACCAAAACTTTCATAAAAATAGAATTGTATAAAATGTAATTCAGGCAACTTAAGAACATTAAGTTCAGTTGTAAATAAGCATTCTGGGTATTTTGTTTTTGTTTTACCATCAGTCCACTGAAGAATATATGTATTATATATATTTAAATATGCTAAATCTCTTTATCATATTTAAAGAGAGCTTTGGTTATAATTCTGATATTTTTTACATTTATGTGAGAGTTTGTGTTCAGCTCTTATAGCTGAAGATTTTTAATTATCAAAATTTTATCTGTACTTAAAAGTAATTTATGTAAGTTGAATCTTGTCTAAATTCTATTTTATGGAGTTTTATAGTATCAACTAGAGCACAGGGGTCAGCAAACTATAACCAGAGGACCAATCTGACCTGTTGCCTGTTTTGTGAATAAAGTTTTATTTAAATACTTACACACCCCATTCATTTTTCTATCATCTGTTGCTACCCTGGCACTATCATGGCAGAATGGAGTAGTTGTCACAGAGATTATGTGGCCCACAATGCATAAAATATTACTGTTTGGCCCTTTACAGGAAAACATTTGCTGACACCTAACCTAGACCATAAAGTTCTGTCATTAATTGAAGTTTGACATATTTTAACACATGCAGCAATTTTATTTAGATTATATTTGCTGTAGAGTGATTTAACCTGTAGCTGCTGGGTTTTAATTGTATAAAATAGATGGAATGAACTTATGCTTGGATTATGATATTAAGGGAAAGGTTACTTTTAGGGTGTAGTTCTTTTTAAAAAAGTGTTACAAATCATATGATTTGTAGAAATAGACTGTCAGAGCAGACTAGATCCAGCCATCATTTAACCTCAGGGGATTTTAGCCCTCGCGGTGCTTCAAAATCCCTGCGGTGCTTTTTGGTGCTTGGTTCCCACTCCTAGAGATTTTGTTTCATTTGATTAGGGGTATGGGACTCCGGCTTTGATATTTTAAAAGCATCACAGATCATTCTAATGTGCAGCCATGGGTAGGGACCACTGATCTTGTCCCACTTACTCATTTTATAAATAAGGCAACTTGGGTTCAAAGAGGTTGTGATTTGTCCAAGCACACACAGCCATTCATTGGGGGAGCTGGACCATAATCTAGTACTCATGGCTTTGCAGTTAAGTACTTCTCTATATCACTCTATGTTCTCCAACCTAGACCAAGGGTTGGCAGGCTTTTTCTATAAAAGGATAGATAGTAAATATTTTAGGGTTTGTAGACCATATGACTTTTTTCCTAGACTGCTTATTGAAAAAAACCACATAATTTCCATTTCATGCAATTTCTAGTGGTGCTCACCAAAAGTTATTTGTTTTGGTGGGTATGTGTGGAAAGGAGACGATACACATAATAGAAACATTGCCACATTATATGATCAAGAGACTACTGGGCTGCTGGTGAGGCATCTTCAGCTCTTACGGTTATTCTCTCTCCTGAGTAGTAATTACTTAAGGATATGTTTGCTTCCAGAGTCCTTTAAAAAAATTTAGATTTCACTTGCTAGGATGAAAAGGCAGCTGTTTTTCTTGTCTATTTTTGCTCAGTTTTAATTGAGTAGACATTTTGAGTATAAAAAAGTGGAATCAATCTGTTTCTCTAAAAACTTACAGTAAAAAGTTAAAAAGTTTTATATAGAGGATAGGAGAAATTTTATGACATTCAAGCTTTTTCATGAATTCAGTATCAGATGCTCTCACGAGTAAAATGCTTTAGATATTTTATTTATTTATAACCAAGCTTGCTCTTAATAATTATAGTCAGGGACTTCACTCTGAGTAAAATTTAGTTTTTGTTTTTTTTTCAAGTTAATATCTTTGTATTTCTGATCCTACTAGTCCTATTAACTTGAATTTGATTGAGAGATATGGAAATAGTCAACTAAATACTCTTCTTGGAGACTCTAAGTGGCGGTGGTGGTAATGGTGTTAACATTGGACCATCTTTGACACTGTTGGTTTGCCAGTTTCCCTCTGTGACCTTTTCCAGTTTTGTTCATGGACTGTGTCATAAAGGTTTCTTTCATGAGTAAATTTTGAACCCAGGTTCAAGGTGAGTTCAGAATATACTCAAATTCATTCAATCATTTTTTTTTTTTGTTAAATGCAGGGTTGTACATATTTTAATAATTTTCTTATGTATCTGGTATTTAATGCTGACAGGATTCCAGTCAATGGAGAGGTTTCATTGCAAGTAGCTGCAGGTGTGTTTCATGGTAGAGATAAAAGTTTTCAGTGAAGCAGACTTTCTTTTAAAAAATTACATCCTAGTAAATAATATAGATGTTGATTTTGTGGGGCAATTTGGTGTGCTTTTTATGTGTCATGCTGTACTGCTAAGTCAAAATTTTAAGTTATAAAGGCAAAAATATCAGATACCAAATCTAAAAGAAATGAAAGGATTATGGAAATGGTACTCATATTCTTAAATGGTTTTGTTTTTATAAACTTTAAAACATCTCAGTACAATAAATGTACTTGTAGTAGTATTTCATTTTAAAATGTTCATTCTTTGCAATGTATTTTTATTTGGTACTGTTGTTAAATAGGTCTCTCAAAACCTAGGTAATGACTATTTAGCTTTTGCATTTTTCATCTTCCTAGAAAGTACAATAATTCCTTCATTTGAGCATCTCCTGTTCTAGGAATTATGCTAGAGCAGCAATTTGCTCAGGGATTGTATAGTATTGAAGCAGTTGTAATGAAGATACACATCTATCTATATGTAGATAGATATAGTGGTGATATATTGGTTTCAGTTTAAGATTAGAGGGTTTAAAAAATTGTAGAAAATGCCTCTTGAATAACTATTCGGTTTCAAAGTAATATTATGTCATGGAATCTACTACTCTACTTGTTACATTAATATTTATTAAATTTCTCATCATATTTGGTCCATACCAGTAAGACTAATTCTCTGGAAAAGTTTCACCTGAAGAGAAATAAGATGTTATTTATTTTTGCCTTTTCAGCAAGCTATAGTCAGCAGAGTGGACCCCAACAACCTCAGCAGTTCCAGGGATATGGCCAGCAACCAACTTCCCAGGCACCGGCTCCTGCCTTTTCTGGTCAGCCTCAACAACTGCCTGCTCAGCCACCACAGCAGTACCAGGCGAGCAACTATCCTGCACAAACTTATACCACCCAGACTTCTCAGCCTACTAATTATACTGTGGCCCCTGCCTCTCAACCTGGAATGGCTCCAAGCCAACCTGGGGCCTATCAACCAAGACCAGGTTTTAGTTCACTTCCTGGAAGTACCATGACCCCTCCTCCAAGTGGGCCCAACCCTTATGCACGTAACCGTCCTCCTTTTGGTCAGGGGTATACCCAACCTGGACCTGGGTATCGATAAGGAGGCTCAGCTACACTGATCAGTGTAGCTGCTAGCTATTGCCCTCCCCAAAAGACTCCAATACTATTTTAATTTGTATTGAAGTTCAGAAATTTAAAAAGCAGAGCATTTTTTATGATATCATTGTTGCTGTTAATTGAAAGTATAATTTGATGGAACATAGACCAAAATGAAAGTTTTTTTTTCTTCCCTGCTTAAAAATGTAGCAGCTTCCTAGTTATTTTGGAACACTACTCTTACATGTGTGTAAAGTGATTGACTTTCTAGCTTCCTTTGTCCAGAGGATATTAAAATACTAGCTTGAAGTTTAGCCTTCTTCCTTGGCTTTTTACTATTAACATGATGTACTAAAATAGAGTCATTTGAGAAAACAACTAGATATTATGTATAAAATGTTAACATCGATAGGTTAATAAAGATGATTGAATCTATTAGTTGTCTTGAAATTTAGTCATTAACACGACATATTTTGGTCTTCAAATGAAGTATAGACATTTCCATTCAGAGAAACACAGAACCATTTTTGGAAGAAAGCATTTAATAATCACCGGTTTAAAACATACTTTAAGAAGAAAGGTTAACTTAGGAGTTTGGTAGATCCTGAATAACTTTGTGCTTTTCTTTCTTATAGAGATAAAAAGGTTACTTACCATTGAATCATTCAGAAATAAAATACTCAGTCTTAAAAAAAGAAAACTATCTCTCTTTATTGCAGAATTTGTACTTGTTTGAAAAATACAAAATGTAGCATTGATAAAATTGAAGCATGTTGAAAGGTAAGCACAGGAAAAGTCCTTTTAGGATGAGGGCAGCACACATTCCTATCTCCCTTCCCAACTGAAGGAAAACCACCTTTTTTAATGAAAGTGAGTCAGGTTTTCATTACAGATTGATTGAAACAGTTACAAAAACATCCTCTGATACATTCATTCATAGAGGTCTTATGTATAAATATATATAAGTAAATATCCTCTAAAATGTTAAGGATCTCATCATGCATTATCTTTTTGTGCTCAGACTTCACATTCAGTCTCTACATACAGCTTGATCAGAATCATAAAAACAATATGAAGATGATTGCTTAAAGGTATAGTTTGACAAAGCATATTCAGACATTATAACATAATTGCAGATAGAGAAATATCTTTTGAAACTGAATATAATAGATTCCCAACTCCATTTTTCTGATTCAATCTTTTAGATTTGCAGATATTTTAAGGAAATGAATATTAGCATGAATGTCTAACTATTTAAACTCCTCAGAAAAGCTACTCAGCTGTTGCTAAAAAAATTGAAGTTTAAATAAACATGAATATTAGGACCTTTTCCTCTAAGATATATATGCTGAAGATAATTTGATCCAATAAGTTAAACTAAGTTGAGATTTATGGAATTAACTCGCCCATAGGAAGAATACACATCAATAAAAGTAAATATTTTTTTAAAAGTATAAGTTTTTGATGTTAATTTTGTTATAAAAGTATCTCAAAACATCATTACAACAGTGTGATAAATAATATACAAATGATCTCTTAAAATACCATGAGTAGGGAGCCAGCTTCCCCAAAAATGTTATTCTGTTAATGTCAATATCTTGCTTTCTTAAAATGATTTTGTAAAACCTGATAAATACTCTCAGCAATCTTTTCTAATAATAAACATCTAATAGTGCTATTAATTAGAGTGTAGACTTTTATACACAGTAAACAAAATAGCTTTAAATGAATGTGACAAATACCATAGTGTTTCCAATGATCTTTTTGACATGGTGAAACAGAAGGTACTTTTAAGCACCAAGTGCAGCATCTACCATTTTCCAGGAATTGTAGTCCCACATTCATACCACTGAACATAATTGATTTGGGTGTGACCACCTATTTCTCCAAATTGGACAGGTTCCTGGCGAACGGCTCTGAAATAGCCTAAGAGAGAAAATAGTTTAGGTTTAAGAGCTGCTGTGTTATATTTTTGCCCTCAGTGCTCATAGACAGAAGGATATCATTGAATGGCTAGGTTACTCTGGGTGAAGGAAGGTAATTTAGAAAACTGATAGCAATATAGGCCTTGATGCATTTCATGAAGTAGTAATGGCTGGCTAAAATCATGCACACCCAAAAACTTGTTGACATTTGCCATAACAAGTTAGGATGAGATGGTTGGTAGTGTGAGAGCAGTTTCATCTGACCATTAATATGTTCACAGATCTTACTAAGTCATCTTTTAGTGTGGTTGGTTTTTTAAGTGCCAGCAAACAAATATGTGTTACTGAAAAATCCAATCAAATAGTTCAAAGTGTTTAAGAAACTGGTGATTCCTGAGTAATATGGACATGTTACCCTGTTCCACACTGCTTAGACAAGAATTTTCATTCTTTTTCAGTCCTCATTACACAGCTTGGTGCTGATGGATCCTGAAGAGGTTATTTCTCAGCAGAATTTTTCTATTTTAATTATCTTTATATCATTATTTATAAGGCAAATAATGCTGTTTTTTCCAGTTATGATAAAGTTTTTGTTAATTTTAAGGGAATACAAAACAGGTGTGCTCAATATGACAAAAACCATAAAGGTAATATATGAGTGATGTAAATTTGGAGAACACTGTTTGTATAGCTGCTTTTGCAAATTCAGATTTTCCTGAAGTAGAATTCATTTATATATGTCTGTGTAATTTCCCTTGGCTCTAAGTTTCTAATTTGAGAAACTTACATTGAAGTCTTAATTTTCTCCTAGCCAGCTAAGTAGAGCAGTAGTACTACAGAATTCTTTTTAAATTGATTGCTTTCCTCAGCTTGATTTCTTTCTGGGTTAATCTGTAAAATTCTGTTACTTATGAGGAGGATTAGAAAACATACCTTCTTTGGTGGGTAACTGGTCAGAACTGAGTTGCTGTCCTGTGCGTCCATCTAAGAATGAATCCACAAATTGGCAGTGATCTTCTCCATGGCCCCTCTGATCGCCTATGTTATAAAATTTTCCTGAAAAATAGAAATTAAAAGGATAAAAAGGATAGGACAGTGTTACTTTCTTATGCTATCTTTATTTAATATATGATAGTTCTGAAATAATCAGATTGTTTCAAATAATTATCTTGCCTATTCTTATACATTTTTTTCACTTATTCATTATCATCCTAGTTCAAGCCAGCAATGTTTCTGGACTGAATTATGATATAGTCTCCCAGCTGGTATCTCTGCTTTTACTCTTACCTCCCTATGTATAGTCTTCCTTTCCTTTTCTCAGATATTAGTGATGTTTTAAAAATGTATGTCAGATGATGGTACTTCCATTAATCTTTCCAGCAGTCTCCCATTACACTCAGAATGAAGTCCAGGGTCCTTACCTGCCTGTCTGTTCCTCCCCTTTACTGTCAGCCACACTAATGAAACCGGCCAGGTGTGCCTCGGGCCTTTGCACTTTCTCTTTGCGCCTAAATGCTTTATCCCTAAGACCTTTGTGCAGTTGGTTCTTTCTCATAATTTTTTTCTTAGTATAAGTGTTACCTTTTCAGAGGGGGCTTCCCTAACCTTTCTAACTAAAGGAGCTTCCCTGTTCAGCCATACTCTCTCACTGATTTAAAAAGTTTCTTCAAAGTACCTGTATTATATATGTTTGTTAAAAATTACTACTGCATGAATGAATATAGAAAGTTATAACCTATTGAGTATGGAGCAAGATAGCCCTTCGGACATCTTAAAGATGACATAGTCCTTTTATGATTATTTTTATATACACTCCTTTTATTATCAGTAGGCTTTTTATCCTTGGATGATTGTAACAAAATTGAGCTTGAACATGCTTAGTAACTACTGTACTTAATTCAAATTTGCCATGGTGGCACTGTTTCCAATTGCATTTTTATTATTTACCTTCTAATAGCATGTCTTAAATCCTTGCTTTCTAGGATAAGTATTTCAATAACATCTTGCTCAGAGGCAAACCTGTATTTATATCACCCCTTAGTGCCTGGAACTCTCCACAGGAAAGGAGAATGCTGCAAAACAGTCAAAGGCTCAAAACAGGGCTGGTAGGTAGCCTGCTTACCTGTGAGGGAGTCACTCAAATATATTTTGTATCTGAGAGAGTTGCACAGCTGCACTCCTACAAATTTTTTATACCACGTCCTTTTGACATATTGTTTGCCCTTACATTCTGAGTAAGAGTCTGAGTTGAAGGGTCTTTCAGTCCAAATGGCATCTCTTCCTGCTGCAAAAGGAAAACACATGGTTTGAATTTAGTACCTGGTTCTTGGATACTGAAGAGGTGTCCTAAAAGCTTTAAAAAGGCAATTTTGCATAGTTTATTGTCAACTTGCTGATACGGGGCCTTTTCCAGTGCTAAATATTGGAGCCAAAAATATTGCAAAGGTTTAAACAAGTAAACTCCCAAATAAGTTTCTGTCAATAGTGAGATAAATCACAGTGCAGTAGGTTTAGGTGTTGAGTAGCCTCTGCAGTGCTAGATGTAGATAGTGTTCTTTAGGAGCAAATTGAGGTTTCCTTTGCAGCATATTACGAAATGTAAGCATCTGCTTTAATGTGACTTGGAACAAAAAGTAGAAATGAGGTTGTTATATCTTGACTTATTAAACAGAAAATTTGAGCTGACCTAGTACACAAGTAAAAAAAAGCAAGTTTCAAAATGTCTATTTTCAGAACATCAGAGGCTCTCAGTGTTATTCAGTGTGTTAGGTAAACATTCACACCTGATTGATATTCTAAAAAGACTCAATGGAAAAAAGTGAAATCATGGTTCAAATTTGCCATGCCTGTTGAGTTGAATCTATTTTTTATTATTTCTGCATATTATGGGGATACAAATGTTTAGGTTACGTATGTTGCCCTTGCCCTCACCCCCATCAGAGCTTCAAGTGTGTCCATATTCCATATGGTGTGCATTGCACTCATGCATGTATATACCCATCCCTTCCCCCCTCCCATCTGCCTGATGCCCGATGAATGTTACAGAGAAGCATGTAGTTGTGTTCCTGTTGAGACAGGTACTCACCATAAACTGGCTCGCTCACTCTTGGGTCCGCTGAGGAGAAATAACAAACACAAAAGTCAGACATCATTAGGTGATGTCCCAACATTCCAATAGCATGATGAAGATGGGTGCTTATGATTGTTAAGAAACCTTATTTGCAAAATGGTACACTTTTCCTGAAGTCTGAAAGGTTTTTTGGAGATTTTTTTTGATTGAATAATCTCCTGCCAGGTAGGTATTCAGCTGTATCTGTTAGATATGGTTTGAGTAGTTAGGAGCCTTTGTTGGTATTCCAGCCTTTAATTTCAAAAGCTTCTTTTAGTGTCATACAAAAACTATGCATGGCAAAATCACTAATATGTCATGAACAATGGTTTACATAAAAATTATGCGAATAATGCTGTATGTACAGATGTATCTTGTTAAATGGCACTTCAAAGGTCTAATTAGAAAATTTTACAGCTGCTTATCATAAAAGAACTATCACATGAGTTCCCTTTCTGGATATACTCACTGATATATTGATTCTAGCTATACAGGGGAGCATTCATTCACTAGATTTTTGAAAGAGTATAGATTATGTTTTTTTCGTGTTAGCTGACAGGTGTAACTTTTTTGACATCCAGGTAAGTGAGGAAAAGTAAGTAGTGCTTCCTCAAGGGTACCTTCATCATGTTTTTTCCATGAATTTAATTTTTATTTTTAGAAATTCAAGAAACTCTTTGAGTACACACAGTGTTTAGCGGGATTTCAAAAAAGCTCCTTGTGTAAAACATTGCTCCATTGTGGCCCTTTACATCTTTGTTGGGAATTACTGTTGATGTGATTACCTGATTCAGTGCTAAATGCCACTGTGTTGCTGACCGGGCCTTCACCCAGCGGGTTTTTGGGTTTCACCTGAAATTCATAGCTGTGTAGGAGGAAATAAAAAAAAATTGTAATACATTCTTGAGGGGTAGGAAGCAACATTTTCCTTGTTATACTGACATCCCTCCCGATTTTATTTTGAAGTCATGATGACAGTGAATGATAACATATGTTCTATTAATAGAAGGTTGAGGAAAGAAAAATGTTTTCTTTCTAAAAAACTTGTCTAACGTTTTATGTAAGCATTAAATTGACAAAAAAGATGATTGTCTTTCAGAAGCTCCGTATTAGTACAAATAACTGGGCTCTTTGTGAATGGACATAAAAGGTATGTGGTGGACCCAGGCTAATTCAAATAAGGAGTCTCAGTTTCCTTCAGATGTCTGATCTACTTCCTGGGGCCAATAAATTGGAAAGATTCCTTTTTATTCCTTATTATCCCAACCCTGAGTATAACTTTGGACTTAGGAAATATTGCCTAAAGAGCCTGAACACAAATACTGAAACTTTTCTCTCTCCCTCCATAAACCAGATTCACATTGGCTAGTCCCTTAACTCTTTATTAAAAAAGAAAATCCAGATCCCTTGAAATTATAAGTATTTTTTATTCTATCCTTAAGAATTATTTATGAAATTGTTGTATAGTATTTGATAAATTTTATTCATAAAACATGTAAGCAGAGCCAACCCTTTTAAGACATCAAACAGTAAAGCAAGTTGCTGTTTGCCTGAAATTAAGATTTCCTTTTAGCAGCAGGCTTAACGGTGAAAGTTGAATTTAAAACCAACCTGAGTTGTCGCGGATAGTATTATGGGTCCCAGATTTGTACAAGGCTTTTGGAAGATAATTTCCATCTTTGAGAAGTTTGTAATTAAGAATGCAGAACACACAAAAGATATTTTACAAACAAATGAAAAGCAAAAGGACAGTTACCAGTTTGCAGAGATGGTACCAAGTGAGCGAGAAAAAAAACAAACTTTATAGAGCTCAGAGTCAGTTTCTTGATCACTAAGGCATTGCATTAAAGCACTGCTAGAATCTAGTATAAGGAGGGTTCTAGTGTTAAAACCAGGCAACCACTTTTTGAGTGCTTACTATGGATCAGATACATTAGTCGTTCTACATTTATAAAGTGATACAACACACATACACCAATGACTTAAGTATCATTCTAACTTTCATATGAGAACAATGAAGCTCATAACCCTTGTACTATGTGTTTCCAAACTTCAAAACTTTGTGCAAATGTACACAAATTTGTGCACATTTGTGTAATGTACCCTTCCTCGTAGGATTTTAAATGAGAGTGTGCAAATGAAAGCATGTTTTAAACAGAACTGATAACAAGTGCTATAATCATTTGCCATTAGAGATTGTCAATATAAAAATACCTGTGTCATTTAAATTAATCACACAAACATGGTGTTTATACATGGAATATTTTCCAGAGACAAAATTCGTGCTAAGAGGCCTAATGGCCTCAAAACAAAGCAAAACCACCAACAATAACAAAACAAAGCCCCCACAAAACTATGGTGAACTGAAAATGGAAAAAAGGAATCAGCAGCATCTGGTCTTTGATTCAAGTGGGCAATGCCTTCCACATTTCATATTCATTCCAGGCCATTGCCAAAAGCCCTGTGGTTTGGCCAAGTTTGATAGCTGGAATCATCTCCATGTCTTTTTATTTCACAGTTATTTACACTTAAGCTCCATTTTTAACATGGCCACAAGCATTCATAAGCTACTTTTTCTGGTTTTTGCCAACATTTTATAATATTTGACAAGTTTTGAAGAAATCATTTTATGCTACATTTAATGAACATAGGAACTAAAAGAGACACTTTTTTTTATTAAACCCTACATGAACAAAACATGTTTGTGGTAAAATTTTTCCCCTAGACGTACAATTTGTCACAAGATGGATGACACCGTAGGTCTAAGAGTAATGTCTCAAGAGAAAATATTGATTGTACATAGGGAATAAGCATAGGATGCTCTCTAAAAATTTCTGAAACAGTTCTTTGAAATAAAAAATGTAAGTAAAACTTCAAATAGAAGTTTTGGAAGTTAAAGTTGAGAACATTTTACAAGTAACTAGAACAAAGTCAAAGAAATGAAAAATGAGAGAAACTAAAATTGGAGGATTAATCATTCCAAAGAGGATAGTACCTAAGCTAGTAGGAATTCTAGAAGACAGAGCAGGGGGAAAGGAGGATAGAAAATTATACCAGAAATTGAGAAATTTCCCAGAACTGAAAGACATGAGTTACCAGAGGCCTACTCTGTGCCCAGCAAAATGAAAAAAGAAGAAAAGGACTAAGTATATGAATTGAACTTTTGGCAAGAAGAAAATAGGTCTCATTCAAAGGATCTAGAATCTGATGATACTTAACAGTGACACTGAAAGTTAGAAAACAATGGTACAATGGCTTCAAACATCTTCATCTTACCCAAAATCTATGTCCAGTTAAACAACTATATCAAAAGACACTTTAAAACATGTAAGGACTCGAAAATACTGTGTTCCATAACTTTTTCTCAAGATGTATTAACAAATGCCACAAAGTGAGGGAATAAAGAAAGACGACGACATGAGATGCAGGAATTAGCAGATTCAACAGAGAGGCAAAAGACTATGGTAAGAAATTCCAAAAGCGGAATTGTTGCCATGAAAAAATTCAGAGAACAAAAAGATGACTGGAAGCTGGGCGGGGTGGCTCATGCCTGTGATCCTAGCACTCTGGGAGGCCGAGGAGGGCATATCACTCAAGGTCAGGAGTTTGAAACCAGCCTGAGCAAGATCGAGACCCCGTCTCTACTATAAATAGAAAGAAATTAATTGGCCAACTAATATATATAGAAAAAATTAGCCGGGTATGGTGGTGCATGCCTGTAGTCCCAGCTACTTGGGAGGCTGAGGCAGGAGGATTGCTTGAGCCCAGGAGTTTGAGGTTGCTATGAGCTAGGCTGACGCCATGGCACTCACTCTAGCCTGGGCAACAAAACGAGACTCTGTCTCAAAAAAAAAAAAAAAAAAAAAAGAAAATTAAATTTAAAACGCCATTTATAAGACCTATTACATCAAAACTATATCTAAATGAGTAAAGTCCAGGAGACAACTGCAGCCAAAAACAAGGTAAGTAACACTTCTTACAGCATGTTGTACCTGGTTCTACCAGGGATAGATGTGGATCCCAACAAAAGCAATCTTTCCCACACATCCCTACCAGGGGGCAGCATGATCTAGTGGTTAAGAACTTGGGTTCTAGAACCAGAAAGATGCCTTGACAACTAATGTGTGATTTTAAGGTAAGTTACTTAACCTCTCTGAGCCTCAATTTCCTCAGGTATAAAAATGAGAATAACGACATTATTTGTGAGGATACTACTATTAATGACAGTAATTATAACCTCACAAGGATATAAAAGTGCCTGTGGGGTTTTCACAAGGATTAAAGGAGATAACATGTAAAAGCAAGGTGCCTGACACACAAGGATTATAAATATTCACTAGTATATCTCTAGACAATTTTTTAAAAGAGGATTTTCTCTTATTGTGGAATTTCACAAAAACTGCTATAGAACTCTCACGGCAGAACTCTTTCACATCCACATACTTGCTTTTTTGGCTGTGAAGGTTATAACCAGGGCATATCCAATGGGTTATTGGGAGGATTGAAACTTTAATAAGTAAACCTTTCTACCTGTCATCTTAGTTCCAGAGGCTAAGAAAAAAAAATTATGTAAGATTTTATTGAAGAGTTTAGGAAGCTCTAAAGCATTATCCCAGAGAAGTGGCATACTAAATTCAAGGGTTGGCCAGGCACAGTGGCTCATATCTATAATCCTAGCACTTTGGGAGGCCTAGGTGGGAAGATAGATAGCTTAAAGCCAGGCATTGAAGATCAGCTTGGGCATGATAGTGAGACCCTGTCACTCAAAAAAAATTAAAAATTAGCCAGGCATGGTGGCACAAACCTGTCGTCTCAGCCACTCAGGAGGCTGAGATAAGAGGATTGTTTGAGTCAGAGAATGGGATCCTCCAATCTACCTGCAGGATCTAGCCTGGGACTGATTTTTTCCACAGGGAAAGAGGTGGTAATACCTTCAAGGTTAACCTTTATGTCTGGTTAGAGCTGACACCTCTGTCATTCCCTCCTGCTTTTGTTCTTCTCTGTAACTCCCCCCCCCCCGTTTCTGCCCACAATATAGAGCTGAATTATAGTTTTCATTATTTGATAGACTTTTTTTTGTTATATACTCTCTACTGGTTAAATAAGTGGTTTTCACTCTAACAACCCCCAACAAATGCCAAGCAAACTCTTTTTTATATAGAAGGCCACCCTATAGCTATAGGTTTGAGTTGTTTAGCTAGTTGATTTTTACCCCTAGGGTAGTCTTGAAATATTTGAACCCCATTCAGGTGGGGTTTCAGACAGAGACAGAGAGAGAGAGAAATGAAAAAGTGGAATAAGAAAAAAGCCACTTGAAGAAAGAGAAATCTAATCAATCAATTTGGGTGAACTCACCTCCAAGGACACTGAAGGGTTACAGTAAACGTTTCTGGATACCTGACACATGCAAAGTTATTGTGCAGATCTGGGAATAAAAATAAGGAAAGGAACAAGAGGACAGAGCAGAAGGGACACTTAAAGGACAAAAACAAATGAGGGACAGAAAGGAGCTGGTCAGGGAATCAGCCGTCATAGGGGGTCATAAAGCAGCAGTCCATGATGTCCTACAGGATGTTACTTTGTCCCCCGTTTTTGTCAGAGGACACAAATTCAGGAGTTATGGGCTAGACTTCTAATTTTGCAAGTGCTGCCATGACTTTCTCCTACTCCCTCCTTGGATAACGAGGAACTCAAAATGTAATAAAAAGTATATGGTGATGTTAGAGGAAGATTTGTTGTCTTCATAGACTAGCGGAGTTACATGCTCTTAGAGTGTTATTCTTTTGCCCAATGAAAAGTTGCTAAACTCCGTAGCAATCAAATTCTTTAACAAGGAAGAAATTGTTCTTCTGATGCTCACACCTA